CAATCCGCCTTGGCAGCTCCATCGGCACCTCTAAACCTGTGCACAATCCTCTTGTCCCTCCTTAGTCCTTTCCTTTGTGATCAGAACAAAGTCTCACTCGCTCTGTGATCTCCAACCTCTCTGTCATCCAAAGAATCGAATCGATACTGGAATACAGGGAATTGGGGGAGCTTCGTCTCTTTCACCCTTTTTTTATATTCACTCTCCACACCCATTGATGGGCATATTTTATATTATATATTTAACCCCATTCTTGGTACATTTTGGTTCATATTTTGGAAGAATTTTGATACTTTGAATTGTTTTCTCAATATAGGACTTTCGACTTTCTCTGGAGCAAAACATAATCAAATGGACGAATTTTGGAGTAATTCCAGTTGGAGGACGTTCGTGAGTCGCTTGGCTTGATCGTATCAAAATTTCAGACTTTTTTACCAAGCAGTTATTTTCTGGCGATAAAATAAAGGAGCAGTGTGCAGTGCTGGAAAGTGACGTTTTGGGCTTTTATGGCGTTTTTGGAGCCCGAGATGACCTCTGATGGATTCGTGGCCTTCTGGAGAAGTGTTCAGAACGTTTTTTTCTTTAAAACGAACTGTATTGGGCCGGATTTGGAGCAGATTTGAGGCCAAAACGTGGCTGGGCAGATTGGGGGCAGATTCTCCTAGTCCAATTTCGATTTTATGTCATGTCATTATTTTATTTTATTTAGTTTCCTTGTGGGGATAGAAAAGCAGGTTCTGGGCAGCTAGGTTTTAGGGAGTATTTAAGTTCTATTTCACAGAATTTTGGGCCTTCTCTTTTGGCTTTTGAACGCGACTTTTGCTAGGGTTTTGAAAGAACTTCTACTTCAAGGTGTTTTCGATCTTTATTATTTGAATGAAGAACTTGATTATTTTTATTATGAACATGCGTAACTAACTCTCTTTTGCTAGGGTGAGGCCACGAGCCTTAGCAAGAATATGTAATTTCTGTCCAAATTTGCTTATGATTATATGCATGCAGGTTTTCGAATTATTCATCACTGGGTTAAACTATCTAAGTGTCTTGATGCTTGATCACCATTAGGATGTTTAGAAAAGTAATTTGATGCAGTTTCGGTCGGAGGTCGGTCCCTGAAATTGACGAAGGCTTCTTGTGATTAATATGTGCAAGTTCACTTAGGATGAATACCACGTCTTAAGGGTTGCATGGTTTTTCAAAAGGTTTCACAGAACTTAATGAGTCATGTATGTTTAGATTTGATCTGAATACCACAGACGGATTGCATGTGTGATATACGCTCTATGTTGGGGGTCCAAGTAGGCATATATTAGGAATACCTAACCTTCGAAATATGCATGTATAGGTCATAAGTAATTGGGAGAACTATATAGAATTGTTAAGGTGACGGCGGATCCCTAGTGCTTTCTTAATTTGATTTCTAAAAACACAACTGTTTCTCTTGCCCTTAGCTTTAAGTTTGCATATTGCCTTATTTTTATTAGTTAAATTCGTTTTAAGTTAAGGTCTTAAAATCAAACATCTCAACTTTCTCTTTTACAATAATTAATTAGAATTTGGTTGCTACGAGTTATTTAATAATCCCTGCGGAGAACGACCTTGCGAGAATCATTTATACTACAATAACCTTGTCATTCTTGCAAGTTTTGTAGGAGTTTTAACCCTGTTTGCGCAGGTACTGAAAAGCCTATCAAGAAATTGGCGCCGTTGCCGGGGATTATTTAAAATAATTCGTTCTAATCAGATTCTGCATTAATTATTGCTGTACATAAAAATTTAAAAATAAATAAATAAATAAATAAAACTAATTTTCGTTTTTATTTTATTTTTACAGATCACAGCAAGGCAGTGCAGATTACAATCTGTGCATGGTCAGCACACGTTCAGCAGTTCAGCAATTGTT